ACAACAAATACGTAACTATCAACAAATGAATCTAAAAAACAAGGAAATTAAAAAAAATCTGATGAACAATATTAACTGTTGAATATAATAGAATCAGAGGTATGGAAGGGGAGTGAACTGACGATTCTTGGGGAAAAGGGGAGAGGGGGACGTGGGAAGAGACTGAATATAAACTGTGCACCTATGGATGAGGACAATGGGGAGTGGGGAAAGGGCAGAGGGTGGGGTGGGAACCTGGTGGAGGAGAGCAATGGTGTGGGGGAAAAAAGGAACATTTGTAATAATATGAACAATAAAAACTTATTTTAAAAAAAAAATTCATGCACTGAGGGGAGCTGGTCCCTCAGCCCGGCCTGCACCCTCTCGTAGTCTGGGGAGCCCTTGGGGATGGCTTAGGGGGAGTGGGTATAAGCTGACAGTGCGACATCAGAGAGGCTCCTGTCACTGCTGCTATGCTCGTCAGCTATGAGCCTAGCTTCTGGCTGAGCAGCACTCCCCTTGTGGGAGCACACTCACCACCAAGGGCCAGCTCCTGCCTTGAGTGTCTGCCCCCTGGTGTTCAGTGCGTGCCATAGTGACTGGTCGTTCCGTTGCTTTGCATATTAGCCTTTTATTATATAGGCTTTATTCAAAACCATTCATAAAATTCCTATGTGAATAACAAACAACCAGATTATTGATAAATTTTTTGAATGTTCACACTCCCATTTCATTAGTGGTAACTGATGCCCTCTACCTACTATGCGCAAAGTTAGTTTTACAGCATGAGCCCATTGACATCTGCAAAAGCCTCACATCAACAAGGAAAAGAAGAGATGAATAATCAAGGTGGCAAAGCTGGTTGCATTTTAAGATACATTTTCCTGATTAATTAGTATCACATCAAAGATCAATAGTCCAGCATTCTGATTCTAATCCTGTCGATGAAGAATGATTGGAAAATTGAATGTTCCAGTTAACCAAACATTCCGCTTTATTAAATATATATACACATTTATCCACAATTTATTTATTTATTTATTTATTTTTAATATATTTTTTATTGATTTTGTACAGAGAAGAAGGGAGAGAGATAGAAAGCTAGAAACATCGATGAGAGAGAGTCATCGATCAGCTGCCTCTTGCACACCCCCTACTGGGGATATGCCCGCAACCAAGGTACATGCCCTTGACCGGAATCGAACCCGGGTCCCTTCAGTCCCCAAGCCGACCCTCTATCCATTGAGCCAAACCGGTCTCGGCTTTATCCACAATTTAAGTACATATTATGCAGATCCCTAGGCATTCGTATGAATTATTATTTAAGTGCTAAAGATAAGGTTGATTAGAAGACTGTACTAACTTTTCATTAGCCACAAGATATTTTTTTTTTCTTTTCCTTTTTTTTTCTTGGGGCGGGGGTCAATCCTCACCTGAGGATATTTTTCCATTGATTTTTTGGAGGAGTGGAAGAGAGGAAAGACAGAAACATCAATGTGTTTGGTTGTCTCCTACATGTGCCCCAACCAGGACCCAGGCCAGGCAAGAACCTGCAACCAAGGTATGTGCCCTTGACTGGAATCAAACCCAGGATCCTTTGGTCCCTAGCCACTGAGCCCAACCAGCTAGGGCACAAGATACATTTTAGAAATGGCTTGCAGAAAAAAAATCTTGACACATTGTTTTCTTTTATGAAACAAATAAAAAAAGTGAAGAGAAATAGTTTCAGCTATTTAAGCTTCCTGGTTGCCTAGACTATGATGGAAAAATGATGAAAAGGCAGATTGGAAACATTGTTTTATTTTATCCTTTATTATAAAGCAGTGGCTCTCATAGTATAATCTCTGGATGGCATCGCTTGATCATCAGCATTACCTCGAACTTGTTAGAAATGCAAATTCTGAAATTCGGGGGCCTCACCTCAGACCTACTGAATCAGAAACCCTGGGGATGAGGCCCAGCAATTTGTGTTTTAAGAGGCCTGACTGGTGATTCTGATGCCTGCTTATATTTGAGAACCACTGTTAGAGCTAAAGAGATACAGTATTGCCGAAACCGGTTTGGCTCAGTGGTAGAGCTTTGGACTGCGGGCTGAAAGGTCCCAGGTTTGATTCTGGTCAAGGGCATGTACATTGGTTGCGGGCACATCCCCGGTGGGAGGTGTGCAGGAGGCAGCTGGTTGATGTTTCTCTCTCATCGACGTTTCTGGCTCTCTATCCCTCTCTCCTCCTCTCTGTAAAAAATCAATAAAATATATTTTAAAAAAATAAATAAAGAGATACAGTATTCAAATTTGTGCCTTGAGAATCCCCATTACCAACAGAATGAAACATGCTTTGCCTTCCTCCACATTTGTGCCCCTCCTGGCTTTGTCTTATAATTACGAAATGTTTAAGATATCCTTGTCCGAGGAGTTACTTCAGAACTGAAACAGAACACAAAAAGTTCTGCCAGATGGGGGGAAAATTGCAACAATTTCCTTTCTTGCTACTGTTTACAACCTGTTCTAAAAGGCTGTAAGTTTAGAATAGGCGCTTTCATCATGTATTCTGCAGTTCCTTTGAGAGAAAGAAAAGTCTTCTATCACAAAATAGACCATAAAACAAGAGCTCTGCCAACATCAACATCAACAGTACATAGATTTTCCCCACCTGAAGATGACAGCTAACACAAAGCCTGCCTAAAGTGGAAGACTGCACTTGGTTCCTGGCTTCCAAAATTCTTTACTGCCTCTTCTTTTTCCTATATCTATACTAGATATAATGCAAACATTACTTTTCTGTTATGCTATATATTTTTGGTGTTTTTTGTTTTTTGTTCATCTTCGTCTGAGGATATTTCCCATTGATTTTTAAAGAGAATGGAAGGAAGACAGAAACATCGATGTGAGAGACACATTGATGTTTTTTATTGATTGGCTGCCTCCTACATATGGAGGGGCCATGGATGGAGCCTGCAACCAAAGTACATGCCCGTGACCAGAATCGAACCCAGGACCCTTCAGCCCACCTATGCTCTAGCCAGCTAGGGCTGTTAAGCTATTTGACAATGTTATGGCAACCTGTATCGACTGAACTGATTTAACTACAATGTAACATGGTGACTATAGAATATATACTATACACAGGTGATAGGCTTTGGCAAGTGTACATACACACAAGGAATGCCCTGGAAGCTTGAGCTCTTAACACTGACTACCATTGGCCTGGCTTGTGTTTTTAATGCCCTACTTATGTATAAGGCTGCTGTTTTTGGAATGAAATCCTGATGCACAATAATGATGTGGTTTGTGTCAGTTACTTGCTTTCATTCCTGGTCCATCCTTCCCAAATATAGCAGGTGTATCTCAGTGGAAAGAGTATCAGAAGACTGTGGGACCTTGGAAAAGTCACTTAACTTCTTGGCCTCCAGTGATTCAGCTGTAAAAAATGAGACACCACCTAATTCCCAAGCTATTGTATTAAGTGAGATACAAATATTTTTAAATATTTTGTACATTATAAACCTATATTTATCCATTCACTGCCCCATATTTATTGAGCAGCCATTATATAGAAGGCATTCTTCTAAGCACTGAGAATAAAGGTGTGAACAAGAAAGCATAAATCCTTTCCCCAAAGGAACTTATATTCTAGTGAGAAGGTCAGATTTATTAACACAAAGGATATTATCCTACCATGTAAGATATTTTTTAGGATTCAGATTCCCCATGGCCCTCTTTAATATTAAGATCTATGATAAAGATACCTTTTTAACTGTAAAAACAAGATTATTAAATGAAGGTCAATTAGATTTTTCTGACTTGATTAATAACTGAGGCTTCCTCAGTTGTAACCAGCTCCTCAAGTGAAATAGTCATTACCTCTGGAGGCAGAAATTACACTAACCTAGAGAAGATTAAAAAAAAACAACACATTAATTTTTGTGATGAGTTCAAAGTATCACACTGTTCGACAATTAAGGATAAGGGGGGACAATCCTATTTTTCTGTATCTGTTATAGTAATTTCTGGACTTGAATTGGCTGATTTTGATCTGATAATTTTCCAAAATATCTCATCCTTTCTAGTAAAAAATTCACTGTGAGACAAGTGTGAAAAAAAAAAAAGCCTCTCAGTAGATCAAAGGAATGATTAGTCTAAGACAGATTTGAGGGTTCTGAAATACGGGGTTCCTAGTAGCCCTGTTTTTTAAAAAAATGCGTTGGAACCATACTGCAGTCTCCAGTCTCCATCACATGCGAAGAGCTTTCAAAGAGGCCTGTTCAGAATGCGCACTAGGTTTTAGAAAAAGGGGGAGGGGCAAACACACACACAACGCACACCTAAAATCTCACCCAATGCTAAATGTTAATCGTTCTGATCATAATTAAGGTGAAAGGAGGACAACCCATTTTTATGGTAGATATATCCTTTTCTTTGTTTGCTTCCACACATATTATACGCAGATCCACACGCAAGGCAGACCAGACCCTGCGGCTGAGACACCTCATACAAACCGCCTTCCCAGGAGGAGACAGTAAAACCCAGCTGGGGGGCTGTTGTTTTATTTAATGGGGACGGAAAAACAGTGGTCGGGGATTAGGATTATAACCGCAGCGCCCCCACCCCCGCGGACCCTAGAAACCGCGACTGTAGGATGTTCTCTGCGGATACCGCATCCTTGGAAGATCTTACGCAGGTCCGAGGTTCTGCTATTTGTCATTTTCCATGCCCTCCAGAATCATCACCACAATGTTCACCTCTATAATGGTGATGATTCCTCTTCCAAGCACACCTCTATCTCCATTCCTGGTCTTGAAGGGGTTTCTCCCGCGACCCCTCACACCCTTCTAGCCGTTATGTCATCATCCCCTGCAACCTCACTCGGCAAACCCCCTCCCCAAGACAACAGTGTCCTCCGGCATTTCCAAATCTCCAGCCCCTAAACCCTCGTCTGTATGTATCCTGCCCTGTCCCTGTCCCAATCCCCATCCCGATCCCCTACCCCTGTTCCTTTACCGGCCCCGCGCACCTTCCTCACCTGCAGCCCAGGAAAACGTGGTTGGTCCAGGCGGCGGAGAGCGCTAGGAGCTGGTCGAGGGCAGCGCCGGGATAGCTGTGCAGGTGCCGGCAGATGAAGCTGCGTCGCAGAGCCCACTGCCAGTCACTTTCGTGGCTATAGCGCCACTGCTCCAGCACTGGCTCAGGCGGGGGCGGCGGGAGGGGCGGCAGCGGCGGCGGCGGGAGGGGGAGCAAAGGCGGAGGCGACAGGAAGTCGCCCCCCAACAGCAGACGTCCTCCAGCCATCTTCTCCGCCCCCAGGCAGGGCCACCGGGGAAGAAGCCAACTATGGAGCTGGAGCGAGTTGGATCGGGGGGCCGGTGGGAGGGACCGGGTGAGGAGGGGCGCGCCGTGGCGCGAAGACCAACTCTCGGGGGACTAGGGTGTGTGCACGGAGGGCGAATACTAAAGAGGAAAAGGCGCTTGGGTCCCGATGGCAGGGCGCGCGCCGGCTGCACTCCAACTCGTGGAGAAGCCAGGAGGGTGCCCACTGCAGTCTACGCGTATCGGGAAGCCGAGCCAGGCCCCGCGCTCCGCACTTCCAGCCACCCGCAGACCCACGCTCAGCGCGGGGAGGGGGGGGAGACACCAGCACGCTCTGCTCCCCCTCCTCTGAGTTCCTGCCTACCTCCCCGCGTGCAGCCCAGCGGTAGCGAGCCAGTGCGCATGCGCTGCGGGCGATCCCTAACTTCCAAATCCCGTGGCCAAATATCGCGCGACGTACATTTCCCCCTTCTGTGACGACTACGGGCCTTTGACGCACTCCTGTGACTAGCGGAAGGAGGGGACTCTGGGAAGGAAATTTTGGGAGGTTCTCCGAGGTTCTGGAACATGTTTCCATTGAATTCCTGGAAGACGACCTCAGGTGATTGTTGGCTGCAATGACTCGTCTGACACTTTCCCCTGGGTTTCTGAGCAGCATGACAAATGCGGTGTTTTTTGGGAAGGACTTGGGTTTGTGATGGATTTTACACTTTTTTTTTAATGTCAGCTCTCCGAGGTTCCTTTTCTTTAGAGAATAGCTTGAAAAGCTGTTAGCTTTGCATTTTATTGTGAGAACAAAGGAGAGATTAAATACTTGCAAAGAAAATCATCCACAAAGCCACTTCTCATACATATTCCATTCCAGTTGCTGACAAATAGACACTGTGCTTACACAGTTCTGATCATGATTGCAAGTAATTTTGCATTTTCTGTACCAATTTAAAATGTGAAAAATATCACAAAATACAAAAGGGCCCTCAAAAGAGGCTTAAGAGCTACACAGCAAAGAATGGCAAAATCACTGTATAGCTGAACACAACGCTCTAGCAGTGCTCCGGTCAGTTCCCTCAATCCCTGTCTGCCAACCTGTGATATATAAATAGTTCATCAATGAGTATCTGTCAACAGGAATTTACACAGCACTTGTGTGCTCAATACAGGATGGGACAAAGTAGGCTTACAATTGTTTGAATGGAAAAGAATACAATAATAAATAAGTAATAAATAATAAACTGTGTTTCAAGTACTCACAACAGGAAGCCTACTTTTGCCCCATCCTGTACAATAATAAAAGGAAAAAGAAACTGGGTTTTCTCTGTCATCCTAGAACTCATTACAATCTTGGTGGGGAAAAATAGTCATGTATGAAACTCAATGTCCCAGTGGAAGCAGGTCCATTGGATGAGGTAGCTTTGACCCACTGCCCTGTTTCACATTTTAATGACACATTTTCATTATATGACATATTGTATGTGTAGGGTGTATTGGATTGAGAAGAACAGCAGATAACATCACTTTTCATATTTCATAATTATTTATTTCTGTGTTTGTCTTGTCTATATCCTAGTGAGTATGATGTCTTTGACTCTATGGCAGGCATTCATGTTGACTGAAATAAAGACATTCTTTGAACCACAAGATCAAAAGATGATATGAGCCGAAACCGGTTTGGCTCAATGGATGGAGCATCGGCTTGGGGACAGAAGGGTCCCGGGTTCGATTCCGGTCAAGGGCATGTACCTTGGTTGTGGGCACATTCCCAGTAGGGGGATGTGCAAGAGGCAGCTGATCAATGACTCTCTCATCGATGTTTCTAACTCTCTATCTCTCTCCCTTCCTCTCTGTACAAAATCAATGAAATACATTTAAAAAAAAAAAAGATGATATGAAGTAGGAAGCTTAGAGATCATAAATTAAAGTCATTGCTGTATGAGTGAAAAAATGAAGGCTGGAGAGGTGAATGACTTGTTGAAGACTGTAGAGGCCATAGCAAAGCTGAGATCATAATCTGGGTCACTTGACTCCTCATCCAGTGCTTCTCCAGCCATTTGCCAATGCATTACCCTGTTGTTGTTTTTAAACGTTTTTCTTCACAGCATGTATCATCTTTTTAACTCTTTAAAAAAGTTTGACTGGTGAACAAAAAGATAGATACAGTAAAGCAACAAACAGACTGTCAAATTACAGTGGGGAGGGGAGGGAGATCTGGGGGAGATAAGAGATCAACCGAAGGACTTGTATGCATGCATATAAGCAAAACCAATGGACAAAAACTCTGAGGATGGAGAGCATGTATGGGAGTGGAGGGGGCAATGGTAACTTATGTACACATATAATACCTTAATAAAAAAAAGAAGAAGAAAGTTTGACTGCCCCCTGCCCAGTGTCAGCTCCATGAGAACAAGGAACTCACCTGCCTTGCTTTTTGCACCTATGCCTGGCTACTGTGGGCATATTCAATAGATATTTCTTGAGTTGAATGAATGAAATGAATAAATGAATGAGTTAGTGAGTGAGTAAAGGCTCTTTCCATTGTTCCGATCTTGTGATTCATTTTCTTGGAATCTATATTTTAAACTGATTTGTTATTTTACAGTTGGATTAATTTCAGTGTAAGCTGCCAACCTTCAGCAGCAGCAGCATTGTCATAAAAAACACATTGTTCCTAGAAAAATATTTGAGAAAATAAAAGCTACATCCTCTTGGCTTTGATGAAAACATGTTCATCAGGTAGGAACATATAATTGCAATCTGACTTTTGAACTTGGATTACAAAATGAAAGGCAATGAAACTGATGTTAGAGGCAGGCTATTTACAACAGCCATAACTGGACTCCATTTGAAATTCCCACTGTGGAATATAGTTTCATCTCTAGAAAGCAAAACAAAAATTTGCATGATTATCCATGACCTTTCAATAGTAATCCTTCTGATCAAAAAAATCCTTCAGCCAACTTATCTCAACCCATTCCTTTTTTTTTTCAAGCCACATATTTCTCTGTGATCAGGAATTGAAACCCTAAGTTAAAGTAGATTATCTGAAAATGATTAAAGATAGGTATAGAAAGGAATGGTGATAAAGGCATCCATTGCAATCCTAAAACAACCCAGAAATCGGTAGTCATCCATCCTACACACACACACACACACACACACACACACACACACACACACACACTGACAGCTCTGAGCTTCTCTCCATGCCCTATCCCAGTGGTCAGCAAACCACAGCTCGTGAGCCACATGCAGCTCTTTGGCCCCTTGAGTGTGGCTCTGCCACAAAATACCACATGTGGGCGCACATGTACAGTGCGATTGAAACTTCGTGGCCCATGCGTAGAAGTTGGTTTTCGGCCTGGGCGAGTCTATTTTGAAGAAGTGGCGTTAGAACACTCAAGGGGCCAAAGAGCTGCATGTGGCTCATGTTCGCTGACCACTGCCCTATCGTATGGGGGATTCAGTGAGTGATCATAGGAGGAAAACTTGGAGACTGGTTAAGCACCCCCCCATAAACTACCCCAGAAATTAGACTACCAAAAGTTCTTGACCAGTATAATCTGCACTACAATATTCTCTTGGGGAATGTTTACTAACAGATTAAAAGCAATAGCTAGGAGCTCCCACTGGTCAAATCTTGGTAATTTGAGTACAAAAATTATTAAGGACAGTAAGGAACCATTGAAACAATAGGAAACTATAAGTCAACAATGACACCACGTTGACAAATAAGGGGAAAGGGAGGACCCCTGCTTACAATAGAATATCATAAAATTTTATAGTTGTTAAGCTCAGACTATGGACTTTCGAAAGCTCAAGCCAAATAAGTTAAGAGGTAGTGGAGGAGTTGGAGGAGGAATACTGATGGAAGGTAGGTCTAGGTGTCAAAACCTCTGTACTATTGTTCAAATGCACAACTCTTTGAAGGGTTACCCACATTTTAAAAGAATGGCTTTGCAAGAAAGCTGTCCTTTCAGTAAAAGATTCATCTCTTGACGTGGGGGCATTTCAGACAGGAGAGGACACTGCTTCACCTCAATGCTTAAACGGGAGCCCTAGTTGCTTGGTATTTTTGAGGGTCTTAGAGGCCCAGTCCTCTGTCTAGAAGTAGTTGGGGTTCTCACCTGCTCAGTACCCCAGGATCAGGATCTCATCGACACAGCAAGCCCCTGCCTCCCACCTAGAGCAAAACTGTATACAAATTTTAGTTAATTACTCCCCACTCAACTTGCACTAAAACTTCATCCACTTGTCTTCATTTCTGATTTATTTTGACCAGCCAGTCGTTACTAACACCTTTAGTCTGACGATGCATCAACAAGCACTAAAATGCGTTAGAGGTGGGGTAAGCATACAGACCAAATCTGGTCCCACTGCCTGTATTTGTATGACCAGCATGCTAAGAATGCTTTTTACATTTTTTAATAGTTGAAAAGAATTAAAAATAATAATTTAGGACATGTGAAAGTGAAATTCAGGTATGAATGTTAAATTTCAGTGCATGTAAATGAAGGTTTTTTAAAATATATATATTTTTATTGATTTCAGAGATGAAGGGAGAATGAGAGGGAGAGGGAGAGGGAGAGAGAAACATCAATGATGAGAATCATTGATCGGCTATCTCATGCACACCCCTTACTGGGGCTCGAGCTCGCAACCAGATATGTGCCCTTGACTGGAATCAAACCTGGGACCCTTCAGTCCATAGGCAGACACTTTGCCACTGAGCCAAACCAGCCAGGGCTGTAAATGAAGTTTTACAGCCACGCTCATCCTTTTACATACATATTATCTATGACTGCTTTTGAGCCATAGTAACAGTTGAATAGTTGCAGAGACCATCTGGCCTGCAAATCCTAAAACATTTATCAGCTGGCCTTTTACAGAAAAAGTTTGCTGATCCCTGGCCTTGAGTAATAATTGTCAACATGGTGCTATTTTGTCCTGCAGGAGACACTTGGCATTGATAGGAAACATTTTTGGTT